CGCACCGCTGTGCGGCTGCTCGTTAGACATGAGCTGGAGAGCCCTAAGACACAACGGGACGAGTGATTTCCGTAACACGGTCGGTGAGCGCCCCTCTACCATGGGAAGAGTGAGTTTCGCAGCGTGATGGGTGCACGCCCCTACACCACCGTTGATAAACCCGATCCCAGCAGACAGAACAGGGAGTGGATAGGGCGTAAGACTTCTGACAAACGTGTGGTTAAAAAGCCAGAAATTGCCATCCCAGTCTCTCTTGTCTTTGCCGGTAATGCTATTCTGCATGAATATATATATATATATATATATACAGTGCGTGACCTATCTCTTGAAATGTTGGCTGAAATTCTGAAGTGCGTTTTCGATTAGGAAGGATTACTTGGTCGCGGTTGTGAGACTGATTATCTTAAGGCATATTCTTATAACATTTTGGACTCGGCAGGATGTCAGCTTTTAAATGCACTTCTTTTTAATCTCCTGTAGAAAGCGTGCGCGGTAAAAAATGACTACTTACTTAGCATGCCTTTTTCCCGTTGATTTTCGATGGTCTTGGAAATTCAAATATATTTTTTAGAAGCCACAAACACAAATTTGCTTTCTTTTAGTCAATCAATAGAGAATCACGTCTTCTTTATATTTTATACTTAAAGAAGGAGTATCATAAGGTTTTAAAAAGTTTCTAATTGTGAGATTTTTTAAGACCTCGCAATGTCCATTCAGATAGCATCGTTCCTGGACGTTTACCACGGCTCCTCATGAAATGTACAACATGGTCCGCATCCATTGCAAAATTTTATGGACCCTGTATGATATCTCTTTAATGACATAGAAAAATATAGGATTTTCTTTACGCGGAACGCATGTACCTTGTAGAGTGAAATCACTAAGCGCTAATGCAACGAATGATCAGGCTCCAAATTTTTCGACAACTAGTAAACTTTGTTAAAACCTAATTATACTCCGTCCTTAAGTATAAAATATAAAGAAGACGTGATTCTCTATTGATTGACTAAAAGAAAGCAAATTTGTGTTTGTGGCTTCTAAAAAATATATTTGAATTTCCAAGACCATCGAAAATCAATGGAAAAAAGGCATGCTAAGTAAGTAGTCATTTTTTACCGCGCACGCTTTCTACAGGAGATTAAAAAGAAGTGCATTTAAAAGCCGACATCCTGCCGAGTCCAAAATGTTATAAGAATATGCCTTAAGATAATCAGTCTCACAACCGTGACCAAGTAATCCTTCCTAAACGAAAACGCACATCAGAATTTCAGCCAACATTTCAAGAGATAGGTCACGCACTGTATATATTGGTATTATACCGTACTCCCGACCTAGATACTTGCTAAAAGCCCAGACACGTGTTTCGCCGATATTCTGCCGCTGCGTGACACATCTGCGAGGGGTTCGGCTCTTCAGTGGGACCACCAGCGTGTCTGGGCTTTTAGCAAGTATCTAGGTCGGGAGTACGGTATAATACCATTACCATATGGAATTCATACTTCTCGTAGTACTACTTGTTTGTAGAATGGGCATTACGTGGTTATTCCACAGTAGTTGATTGTCTTCGACTCAAATGTTCATTGAAATTTCGGTTCTGACCCTAAAAAGCCATGTCTCGGAGATTTAACTCCAAGTTCTGCACTGATTAATTTCTGAAATTATTCACCTGATATATATATATATATTTTGAAATCAAATACGTTCTATGGGAAAGGGAGAAAACTTTATTGAGTAAATTTTCGACGTCGGTTCCCCGTGCCGTCCTCAGACTAGAGTAAATGTGCAGAAAACAATTAAAATTTCGAACGTGCTACAAAATCAATACTCATTTGGTGCCTCAGCTAGTAAGCTGCCGTCGTATGTGTCAGTCCGTATTGATCGGCTTTCGTCTCTTCCACTTTTCTCTGAGATTCTTGTACGTGACATCTAACTAGATATGCCTGTTGATGCATGACTCATCGGAGTGCATGGCTTCAAGAAACTCTCGGCCTCTTTTAGATGGGCAAACTCCGACGATGCGAGTTTTGTCCCATGCGAAATTGTGCCCAGTATCAAGAGTGTGCATGGCCATTTGAGACAAGTGGTCTCGCCTCTTAACTGCAAGTTGATGTTCGTGGATGCGTGTAGAAGCAAATTTTCCCGTTTGGTCACAATATACGGCATCACAGGCATCGCATGGGATCTTATAGACGACTTCTTTTTTATCGAGATAGCCAACCCTTTCCTAAGGGTGTACAAGCTGGGTGCGTAAAGTAGTCGTCGGCTTGTGCGCCACTTTTATCTGGTGTTTCCTCAAGTGTCTTTCAACAAGTTCAGACACATTCCTGATGTAAGGAAGGATTCGCCAAGTTTTTGCTTTGGGCGCTTGATTGGAACCATCTAGTTCCTTTGTTTTTTCTCTTGTTGTTTCATGCATCGACGTACGAAATCTCTCGGGTATCCGTTCTGGGAAAATAATTCGAATAGGTAGTTTGGTTCAACTTTGTAGCTTTCTTCCTCAGAGCAATGTGTTTTTGCTCGATGTATCAGACTTTTGACAGTACTCCGCTTGTGAGAGATCCGACTGTTGTTCTCATAGTGTAGAATTATTTCTGCATATGTTTCTTTGCGGTAAACGGAGGTGTGTAATGTTCCGTCAGTCTTACGCTGTACGAGAGCATATAGAAATGGGATTTTATTGCCAAGTTCTTTTTCCAACGTGAATTTAATTCCCGGAACGGTTGAATTGATTGTGTTGTGGAGTATTTCTAGTTGATCCTTTTTAACGACGACAAACGTGTCGTCTACATATCGTACCCATAACTTAGGATTAACTAATGGAAGAGCCACCGATTCCAATTTCTGCATTGTCACCTCGGCAAGAAAGCCAGATATGGGTGATCCCATTGGAGCACCTTTTAGTTGTTGATAATATTGGTGATCGAACGAAAAATTGGTTTCTAAACAAATGTCCATAAGTTCAAGTAAGGCAGCTGCGGAAACATCCGTGTCATAGGACTTTAGGAGTTCATCTGTGCATTGCCTTGCGAAATTTAATGGTATGGAAGTGAACAAAGAAACCACATCAAAGGAGACCATTATCTCATCCGCGGAAATTGTGATGTCTCTCAATTTCTCTAGAAACTCCATGGAGTTCTGAATGGAAGTGGCACAATCTCTCGTAAGTGGATGAAGTTGGTGGAATAGCCACTTAGAAATTTTGTAATTGGGTGCACCGATTAAGGATACTATCAATCGCAGTGGTACCCCAGGTTTGTGAACTTTGGGCAATCCGTAGATCTTGGCGATGGCTGGTTCGGATTGTCTCAGAGATTTTGCAATGTCTCCTGGCAGTTTTTTCGTTCCTGTGAGGAGCTTCAGCACTTTATCAATCGATGAATTCTGTCCTTTCGTAGGGTCCGTGGAAAGAGGCTTATACACGCATTCACGAACACCAACTTGCAGTTAAGAGGCGAGACCACTTGTCTCAAATGGCCATGCACACTCTTGATACTGGGCACAATTTCGCATGGGACAAAACTCGCATCGTCGGAGTTTGCCCATCTAAAAGAGGCCGAGAGTTTCTTGAAGCCATGCACTCCGATGAGTCATGCATCAACAGGCATATCTAGTTAGATGTCACGTACAAGAATCTCAGAGAAAAGTGGAAGAGACGAAAGCCGATCAATACGGACTGACACATACGACGGCAGCTTACTAGCTGAGGCACCAAATGAGTATTGATTTTGTAGCACGTTCGAAATTTTAATTGTTTTCTGCACATTTACTCTAGTCTGAGGACGGCACGGGGAACCGACGTCGAAAATTTACTCAATAAAGTTTTCTCCCTTTCCCAAAGAACGTATTTGATTTCAAATTATATTTCTTGGGATGCCTGCGTTCCAATTCATATATATATATACATTCACTCTGGAATGGGCGCACACCAATCCATTGGCTTCCCGAAGCAAACAAGCTTCGTATGATTGAAAGGGGTCACGAACAGGCAACCACCTATCAGGCCGAAGTCGGCCAAGCCATGGTAGCTGAGGAAGACGACAGTCTGGGGGATAGATTGATACAGAACTGTTTCGGGCTTGTTTGCCTTCATTCAGCCAGTCATAACCCTGACCACCAGCTGGGACTGGAAACACACACATGTCCACAGACACACCTGGCGCAGCTGGTCCACCACTGAGATCTACCAGATGGGTCATAAGCACTTCATCAAACCGAAGTTCATCAGTGCCTCGCCACCTGCTATTCTCTGTCGCTGTAGATCTGGTATTTATTCACTCAGGAATGGGCGCATACCGATCCATTGGCTTCCCGTGACCCCTATTACCCATACGACGCTTGTTTGCTTTGGGAGGAGATTTTTGGATGCAGCCGGAACGAAATTTGTTCGAAAGCCGGGGTCCTGTGGTAACTGAATTATTATATAATTATGCTGCACGATGATTGGTTTTACAACCCAACTTAATTAATCTTTTCGAAACGGAAACACTTTTTGGAATTTCTTTTGAGATTTCATGAGTTAGCCCACCTACTGTATATCCGACCCCCCAACGTATCGGCCTCCTGTGCCTTCTTCACCAAATTAATTTGCATTTCCAACGGAGAACGAGTATCCTTTGCGTATATATAAATACAATTCTGTCGCGCCCAGTGTGGAAAGAACTTAAAAATATCATAAATGACTGAGCTTTGACACTTTCAAGCCCCTATGTGCTTCGGTGCCCAAAACTCCCCTTTCCACTTCGTGCGCATAAAATAACTAACCTGGCCTAGCTGAACCGTCGCACAGTTACGCAGCTGGAGATTTTCCGTTTGCAAATGTCCTTCTAAGATTTCTGGCGGTCAAACCCTTGTTTGTTCAACACTGCTTTAACGAGGAGGTCCCCGTAAAACTCAGTATAATGGTCAAGTGGTTTTTTTATTTAACCCCTTTATCGTGAGACAACAATGTGACTGAGACCACCAGCATGAACAAAGAACTTAAAACAGCACTAGGCTATGAATTAGTTCTGTTCAGTGGTCGGTTCGAAGAAGTCGCATTCATCCTCCTCTTCCTTCTCGTCGGCCTCTTCACGCATCATGGTGGTATCGAAGAAGTAGACGCAGGCGGACTGCTCAAGGCTGTTCATGAAGCGCACCATCTTGGTATACTGGCGGTTCTGGTGTTTGACGAGGTAGTGTTCCGCGTAGTGGGCCGACATTGCATCCTTCATTGCGGTAGCGACCTCATAGAACTTCTCCCACTTCTCCTCCAAGTTCTTCTCGATTTCAACGAATTGTTTCATAACCCCTGTCATCTCCTTCGCAGACTTGGCGGCCTTGAAGGTGTACTGGGTTGTCCGTTGAGCGGGCATTTCAATTTGTCCACCACGTTCGGCCTGGTAACGCATCATCTGCGCACGGAAGAAGTTCAGTTCGCGGGCGCGAGCCTCAAAGTAGCGCGCGAAGTTCTTCAGGTAGACGGTCTCGCTGTAGGCATTGGCGGCTGCCTGCGAATAGGCCAGCTCGGCGTCGACGTAGGCCTGGACCATGTCGTTGACTGCCTCCTCGACTTCGTTGGGGTAGTGGACGCGGCTGGACTCCATTGCGCGGTTGACAAACTGTCTGGCCTCAGAACTGGCCTCTGCAATATTTATACATTTTTTTACGCAGATCCTCCACCCCGGTGAATGACCCCTCCATTCAACTGACAGTCGCAGTTGTTGATCACGAGACATTGGCCTCATGACAGTATTCCGGACTGCGACATCGATCTATTGATTTTTAGATCGCATTTCAGATTATTGGCTAGCGCTGATGCCTTGTCCATGGAGCAGAATTGCTAACCTCTGTCCTACAGCCTGTTTTCGTTTTGCCGTGCTTTTATAAACTTATCGAAGTAATTTTTCACAATATGCTCCGCCTGACAGGACTGATGTTCAGAAAACTGTGAGATATCGAATCGCCGAACGATAGTTACGTCCTTTTGAGGCCCTCATGGTGTTTCGGTTTAAGGTTGAATCTTAGCACAACTAGTGCGTCCTATAACCTAGCTATAGTAGTTGTTTGGCTCCCCGTTCATGATCCGGGGATCTGGGAATGAATTAATTTCTTCTGCGTGCTGTTAACGTAGCATCCTTTTGGATTCCTCGCTCTACTGACAGGGCAACGTTAGAACTATCGGTAAATGACATTGGCTAAGCAGACGTTCCTGCTTCGTCGCTTCAACCGTCCACCGCCAGTGCTGGTTTACTGGACCAGAATGTTAATTTTCTACAATCCCCGGGTCAGGATCTGAACAATTGGCATACCGGTTCCGACGGCTGAAGTACCTTGGGACTATCCCACTAATCAAGTCTGACTTTAGTGAATCCGTGCACTGCGGTAGCGGGTCCGACTTGATCAGGAATGCAAGATATAACTAACTCCTTCCTCGTTAGGGCACAGGGAACACGTAACTAAACAGTGAGAGGAGATGACTATCAAACGAACGATAATGTTATCTGCCTGGCGTTTCGGATTCACCCTCAGGCCAATCATCAGAAACGGCAGTACTTGTGTAACGCAATTTCCACGCGACCAGGCCAATTAAATTAAACCGTAACCGCATTAATCGCGGACGGCCCAACATCGTGCGATGATTGCTTGACCGCGCGTACCCGAGTCGTTTTTGACCGCAACTTCATCACCAGTGTGGGGGATTTACGTGCTAATGACCCGGCCATTTGACGCGCCAGGAAAATACGATCGTCGCACGCTCTTAGCCCGACTGTTTTTCTTCTACAAAGTCAAAATACTGAGCGGGGCGCGAATTCAGTGCGCTTATTCATGTATTGTGGGCAAAAGAACCATGGCCTCAGCGGTCAAAATGTCTGTCAGGGAGTTCGGCCGTCCGGAGACAGAAGATAGGGCTGGGTCCACTTAAATGGACTACGCCTTAGGAATTGCCGTTTTTGCTTCTCAATGCTGGAGGAGGGTGTGCTGTGGGTTCTGCGCAAGTCAACTGTCATTCTAAACGACCTCGCGCCCAAGTCGCAATCCCTACGCCCACCTTGCCATGGGACAAACGGTGGACATTGTCGGAAACGAGGGCCAAACCGGAGTCAAACATCAGGCGCCAGGTGATGAAATCGAAAGACCCGCTGCCACGGTAAGAAACGTTGGGAGTCGTTTATCGGATCTAGTGCAGTTGCGGACAAAGCAACTACGTCGGAGAAACCGGGAGACAGCTCCGAACGCAAATGGCCGAACACGCTGCAGCCGTGCGGTGAAATGACGCCAGCTCTCAAGTTGCGGCTCATTCGACGAGATCCGTCCGCACATTCAAATTCGACGAGGCCGAAATTTTCGCAAGAGGTGACAACCGCGTGAGCCGGAAGCTGCTTGCGTTATGGTTTGCTGCCCCCCAGTCCATTAACAAGTGCAATGACCTTCCTCTTCCATACTCAGTGCTGAGACTTCGCCTAGGCGGAGTAATTAGCCACGCGGGAAGCGTACAGGTGAACACTGTTTCTAACGCTAAGGTCGGTGGATCAGCTGGTCGAGCAATCATCACACCAATATTCAACGCACGTGATGAGATTGCAACTATTAACGACGCAAATGTCGGCCATCAAACAATTAGCTCACTAAGTGCAACGGTCCCTGATGAGGGGGGTGGGGAGCCGTGAATATTTATAGGTATGCGGTAGCATGGTTACTGCATCATATAAATACTACAGTCCCTTGTGCATGAACCACCCGTTTCTGCTTTTTTGTCTCTGATGATGGGTTCGAGCAGGAGTCCGAAACGTCACGCTAATAAAGCTCTTGTCCAGGCGATCGTTTCTCCTTTTCAAGAGTGTCAAACAGTTATTAGGTTAATGGAACCTGACGCATATCTTAGTTCGGTGTTGAATATAGTTGCACGCTTCCCCCTTTTCTCTCTCTCTCTCTCTCTCTCTCTCTTCAGAGGCGTTCTGCTGGTTCAGGTTACCAGATCTCAAAATTAAAAAAAATAATGAAGCGCATGATACTGATGGAGAGATCGGTTCTTTTGACTTCGGTGGAAATTGGCTCAAAAATTGATGCTATTAACCGGCGGGGTGTATTCTGTATGATCTTTTTAGGCTTAATAACTTCAGTTTCAGAGGTTATTATAGCACACTCGCTGACAAGTTAAGCGTTAACTGATTCATCGTACTCTGGGCACGTCGGAGAATCTAGGGAGCCCACTGAACCGCTCACAGCTGTGTCGCGCAGCCGTACAAAACTGGCGAGTCTCCACGGTTTTAGCGATCACCATTGCCGTCAGTATAATGAATTATGCAACACGCGTATACTACTGACTGTATGTTGGTAGCTCATGAATGTTGTGTCTTTCTCAGATTTTGTGCGGTCGCGCATAAGACACACTGAGGAGACCACTGATGGACCAAACTGCATACAGCTGTGCCGTAAAACGACACAAAATGGAAATAAAACCTGAAAATGCGATAAATAAATGACTGTTTTAGAGTTGCGAAAATTCCCATAGCAATAATCAGAAGACGTGGCGGCGAGCATACGTAGCTTTCGATAAACTCTCCTCGGGCCAGTACAATTATATGGGAACGGGGTACGAGCAAAAACATGTGCGTGATAAGAGCAATTGATTAAAGTTCGTCTTACAACACAGGCGCGGTGTGGGAATGTGGGGAGGGGATGGGGGATAGTGGCAGTCAGTTTCAGGGACGGGGTGAGAGCGGAAGGGCGTGGAGAGTTACAGCGTTAGTCGATCTCCGACCACAGTAGGTGCGGAACTTGAATGCGGTTCTTTTATGGGTACAAGACGGGTTTTCGTAACGTGATGGCGGCCGCTTCTGCTGGTACCAACAGAAGCTGGCCAAATAACTTAGGGTAGCTCGATGGGACCTAAAAAATCACAAGGAAAGCTTCGCTAGGGTCCACACGATGTCCAGAATCAACAGCATGCGCGAGAACGGCGTTGTCTATGCTCCTAGTTTGGCTTTTTCCCCAGTCATGCGGGGAGGTGTTCGTGCATTCTTTTAGATGGACGCCTGATGAGAATTTATTGAAAACAAACGTATTCTCTCCAAATGGTCGTCTGAGGGACATCTTATCTGAAACAGCACCTATAATGGGTAGCGCCAGCGGGTATCTAAAGTTATTCTTCTTGCTGTTAACTTTATCGGGAGGCTGTATGCGGCGCGTGCCTCCCTGTAAGAAAGCCAACTATCGCGATTTTAAATGTATAACTTGTGCTAGATTTCGTAAAGTATTGGCTGAAAGGCTTAGTGTTACTAGTAACATGGACAGGGACAGTGGACCAACCGTTTCTGGTTTATTTGTTCTCAGCAGTCGAAAGCTGCATCCCCGGAGACTCAAAGCCCGAGTCAGTTGATCATCGAGCAACGCTCTCACCATTGCGCAGGAATATGGTTTAGTCGCTTTGGTGTGGTTAGCACCGACCTATTCCGATTGCAGGAGGAGGTCAGTATTTTGATGGTCGACAGTTCACTCATGCGATCACATGCCAACTAGCAATCAATAATTGGGATCACGTTTACGGTGACTCTGTGAGAGTGCGGATAACAACATCGCTAGGTGCTCTAAACAAATGTATCATGCTGACTCAGAGTGGTCAAGGCGAAAAGTAGGTGAGTGATTACGTGTGATGCCACCCTAACACCAAATGACCTTTTCGGACAGCCAAGTGGTCAATTCTGATATTCTACCACCGTTAGTCAGTACTTAGCCACTAGTAAATTGCTAAATAATATCGGTAAGTGTGTGACAGCGTAGACTGGAGACCTGGAAATATAAGGTATAGTCGAAAGACCAATTTATGACACGGAAACGTGACAGATCAGGAACCAAATTAACACATGAATAAGGCAACAGTTTACCGGTTTTACACCCATCAGAGAGCACAGCGTTGCCGTCTTGCCAATCTTACCATTTTCTCCGACAGCGCACGCTGTTGAATTGACGCAGTTTCAGGCAAAGGAGGCGGGAGAAGATATCGGTCAAGCGACGTCTGCACAGGGAAAGAGAGGTCGTTATACATTCAAAGACAGTAGTACTTAGCCACCAAACGAAAAATTTGCATAAAGAAGACTAAGGCCAAAGCAGCAACAAGACATACCTTAAAGTGCTACTCTACTGTGCACGCCTAGCTTACAATTTAGAGAACATTTCTGGGTTCTTAATGCGGCAGTTCGTGACTTTAGGGACGTTTCTCAGGCACCTCCGTCAAACCCACTCATGGCATTAAAGAGCATGTATCTCTGACGCAAATGGGTGACATGTGCTTTGACGTATCTCGACGCATTAATTTGACAGCAAATAGTGTATGGCAGATGTAGATGGGCTGCTGTATTTCTGGCAGAATGGCATTACCGACAAAGACAACGCAGACTGGAATGGCCATTTCTGGCTTAGTAACCGTCTTCAATCCAAGCCCGAAGTGTGGAACACCCGAGCCTCGAACTCACGACCTGTTAGTTAGAAGTCCACGCCTCTAACCACTGCGCCACGGCTTGGGTTGACGACGGCTAGTAAGCCAGAAATGGTCATTCCAGTCTCCCTTGTCTTTGTCGGTAATGCCATTCTGCCTATATATCAT